GGCCCCTCTCTGAGAAGATAAAAGTCAGCCAAGAAACGGGAGTTCTTTGTAGAAGGCAAAGAAGTTTGATACTCGAGCCTAGTGGACATTAGGAATATCTGACTTGGTGCTTGGAGACTCTTTGATTTATTGTTTAGGAACTTTATCCGTTGTTCTTGGCAGCCTTGCAAAAGCTTGGCAAGGCTCTTTCTTGTCCGAGGTAATTAGTTGGAAGCAGCCTTTTATCTGTGAAGAAACAGGATTCGTAGATGAAACATTAAAAGGCTGTGCTGCTGCCTTTGTCTTGTGTTTGCTCTCTTGGAACCAGGTTTGGGTCAGAACAAGGTCACTTTTTTCAATGCTGCTGTATTTGGAAGAGTTACAAGGCAAACTGTTTTAAGTTGAGGACTACCTGCACAGACAAAAATACAGAGAAGATGACTCTCAAAGAGACAAAAGCCAGACACACTTTCTTTCCAAGATCTGAAGCAAACCATTGATCTTCCCCGTATCCAGTAGGCTAAACTGTCAGCTTCCATCTTAGGTTTCCTTGTGTTTCACTAGCTGTCTGACCTGCTGTCTGCAAGCTGTCTCCATTCCCCTCCATCCTGTCAGAGCTGAAGAAGCTTCTTGGATGAAAAGCAAAAGGTCCTCAAAGGAAAAAGTCCAGTTGCCTGCTGAAAAAGCAGCTTTGGGGTCGCTGCATTCGATGACTACTGCTATGAACTGGGGAGATGGGAGAAGGCAAAGGGGGAAAATGAAAGTAAGCGTAGTATCTCTTTGAGACGCTGCTTCAAGGTCTCCAGGCATATTAGCTGCATGCCGAGTGTTAGGAAAACATCCTGCCTGAACCTGACTGTTCACATGGGTATGTGAGATAGCTAAGAGAGGGAAAAGTTGAATTTTGCCATGCGATGCTCAGTTCTGACTATACACTATTGTAATACATTTGACTTCTAATGAAACCATGCCTTTCTCAACAGATGAGAGCCAAGGATGATTTTTATTTAGAGATTGAAGCGGCAGAAGGTCTGACACAGGCTTTAACTCACCTTTTTTTTAAAAATTAAGTCAATATAGGCTAAACTCACCATGCCAGAAAACATAGGATCTGCCCCTAGAATTATCTTTATTCCAAAGACAACCTTAGGGTTTCAATGGCATTCTCAAAGCACGAAGATCAATTAATTGTGTCACATTTATGTGTGTGTTGGGCGGGGGCGGGGATATATGCATAATCATTCATTCATTTTGTCATCTTTATGTAGCATATATTGGACATGGTGACCCTTTGAGAGTTGTATGCAATGAAATTTCATTTTAATGTATGCCGATTAGTGTATATTTAAAGTGACAATAAAGTTATTCTATTATAGCCCAGTGTTATGCTTGGAAATATATCCCTGGACCAAGGCATCTTAAGCAGTTATAACAGGTCTTCAAACTTGACAGCTTTAAGAATTGCGGACTTCAACTCCCAGAATTCCTCTTCCAGTCATGTTAGCTCAGGAATTCTGGGAGTTGGAAGTTCACAAGTCTTAAAGTTGCCAAGTTTGAAGACCCTTGAGTTATAACATCAGCAAGCAACGTCTCCCATCCACTTTCTGATTGCAGGCAATCCTCGGCTTACCACCATTCATTTAGTGACAGTTTGAAGTTACAACATCGCTGAAAAAAAAACAGGCTTGTGATTGTTTTTCAGTCTTATGACCGTTGCTGCATCTCCATGGTCACGTGATTAAAATTCAGCCGCTTGGCAACTGGCATGTACTTATGACAGTTGCAGTGTCCTGGGATCACGTGATCAATTTTTGTGACCTCCTGATGATCCAGGTACCACCTATTTTCTATACCTGTGCATTTGGTTTTTCTTGCCTAAGTACAAAACCTTACTTTTCTCACCACTAAATTTCATTTTGTTACCTAAGGTTCAAACTCTCTGCGTTGAGGATTGCATGTCTCCAAATACCAGTTGTAGAGGAACAAAAAAATACAAGAGTCCTTGTCTTACAAGTTTATTTAGTGATTGAAGTTACAAAGGCCCTGAAAAAAAGCAACTTAGGGCCATTTTTCACACTTATGACCGTTACAGCATCCCTGTGGTCACATGATTTAATTCGGATGTTTTGACAGCCGGTTCACATTTATGATGGCCACAGTGTCCAAGTCACGTGATACCCTTTTGCGACCTTCTGTCAACTCATATTTCTATGGTCTTTTTAGAGTTGCCAACAGAAAGGGAGAGGAGAGCAGTGGGCAGCTTGCATTCCATAAATGTTTTCATAGATAATAACTAGGTGACTGAAGTTTCTGTTGGGCAAAATTCTAACTGGAGAGCATGACTCTCGGCTATGGATGTGTCCCATTGGAGAATATGAATTATGATACACCCAGAGGGTGGAGGGAAAACCAGCGTCAAGCATGACAATGAATGAGGTGTCTCAGAGTCGACTACACCCAGGCAGTGCCGGACATGTTAACTCCCAATAAATCCTTTTGAAGTTTTGGAAGTTTGGCTCGAGACTCGTGATTTAAATGGGGGCAACTGTCAGAGCCCTGACACTGACAAGCCAAGGCTTCAGTGAGGAAGCCAGATTAACAACTCTGTTACTTAACACGTTTTTCACTTAGCAACATCCATTTGGGCCTCAATTGTGGTCATTAAATTGAGGACTACCTGTATATTGACTGACATGGACTTTATTATCCAGCAGGCTTATGCATTCCCCACCCCCCCAATGGAGAATGGAGCAAGGACAGGCATATGTATAAAAATAGAGAAAGCCCAAAGTAGTGATGAGTCAGGAAAGATGAGCTTAACATGTGCAGAAGAAAACTGCTGCCAAAAAAAAAAAAAAATACCCCATTGCAGGTAGTAACTTAAGAATCTTTAAAAGAAAAAGCAATTTAGCAGCTTGGGAAAAAGAACATGCCATGAAAATTTATGGGCTGAGGAAACAAAGAGAAATTTGAGCAGAGAGGAAGAAGCTCCTTGGGGAAATCAACGGAGAAATTCTTTTGATAGCTGAGGGAATTGGGTCTTCTAAAGGAGGCAGCCTCACAAATCAAGAATTAGTGTCTGAAGAATAAGCTATTTCTTCCTTAATGGTTTGACTGTTTAGGGAAGGGGCTGCAATCTGAACTGTTTGGGGACCTACGGCTCTAACTTGGCTTAGTTCTATTGTACATCAGGTGTATATATATACTATGAAAAATAACAGGGAAAAAAAATTCCTCCTCTCAAGAGTAGATGGAAACAGTGTAAAACCTCATGTATGCTGACCTGATGCAACGTAACATTTGTATCTCTCTACCTAAAAGCTTAAGAGAAAATAAAAAGGTTAAGACAAAAAAAAGACTATAAAATAAATGTAAACCCAGAAATAAACAAGATTACTCACTGTACAAAACATTAATTCCTAATTTTCTACGGTGAAAATTAGTGTCTACCAAGTTTTGATTTTGGTTACCTCTGAAACATTTTTCTTCTTCCTCCCCCCCCCCATTAGATTTTATTAAAAGATATAATGTTTCAAGGAGCTACAGTTCACCCTAATATCTTTTAATAACATGGGTGGGTCTAAAAAGTCACTCCTGTCTCCTTGATTCTTGGCTAACCTAGAGTATTGCAGGTCGTCTCCTGCAGTTTTCCCCAACTGCATTTTCAATCTTATTTTTTTTGGAAGAATCCTAAATAAGCTTCAATCTGTATTAATTATTAAACCCTGCCCAATCTTTTCCCCATAATACATTGTCAGCAACATTATCCCTTTTACACATTGTCTCTTCCTAGCAAGATAGGGTCAAGGGTCCACATTAAAATACAATGTAAAAAAATAATTAATTTTCCAAAATAATCAATGCAATTATCAATGAGTACATATTGCACAATTAACATTAGGACTATAAAACATTTTATTGCTCACCCTCCATGGCACCTGGCTAAAATATTATCTCTGCTATCCAAAACCAGTTTCTTAAAACTTTTTCCCCTCTCAGGGCTCATGTTCATTTTTAAAGATTATCGATAAGAGCTTTAGTCTGTAAGGGCGATATTTATAAATACTGTATTTGCTGTATAAAATTAATGTTGACGCATCCACGGTCACAATTGCACCTCAGGATTGTTTGACGGGTTTTAATTTTTTTTTTTCAACCTAGGCTGGCAAATGATTTTGATTTTGAGAATACCTGAGAGGATCTTTGGTGGAGGGGCGGGTGGATCCTAGGATCACCCTTTAGTACTCTACACTTACTGCATTAAGCCTAACTTTACAGCAATACTACAAAAGACAGGATCAATAGCATAAAAACAGAAATTAGAGAAAGCCAGGAACAAATGAAATCATTGTACAAGACGTTAACTCCTAATTTTTCATGGCAAACCTTAGTACCAAGGAATAATGCATTTTCCCAGGCTAAATAAATACCTCGATTTGGGAGTGGGGGGGCTGTTAGGGGAAGACACCAAACCATATTCTACCATTTTCAAACGCTGAAAAGACCCCTCCCTATTCCTGATAATAAGCAGCACGCCACAAAGAAGGTGCATTCCGCTAGCTAGGCATTTCGAGAATCCCCGAAAGCCTTTTTTTTTTAAATGAAGTCATTACAGCCAAATGCGTTTTGCACCCAGATATGCCCGAACTCTTTTAAACCCCAGCACGGCAAGAAAAAGAACCACGCGTTGAACGCAGCACAAAAGCGGACGCGATCTCGTGGCCTTAATACTGTAATGCGGAGGGGAAGCGCGGCGCTGTTTTTTTTTTATTATTTTATCATTGCTCGCCCATTAGACAAGCTTTCCAACGCCCCTTCTCCATTCTATCACCGCCACAAAAAGGAGGGGAAAAGAAATCGCATTTTCCTCCCCGACTCTCTTCTCTGTCACCGACCACACCCCAACTCTGCCTTCCCCCCTCCCCCCCTTTTTTTAAACCACGTGGCTCTTCCTGCCCCCCCGCCCTATCAGCGCGCGCTCCTGATCCCTTTCGACCAATCAGAGCGCGAGCCGACCGCCAGTTTATAAAAGCTTTGTCTGGTTCTCCGCAGGCTCCCCAGAACGTTTCGCTGTTGCCGCCGCGTTCGGAGAAGAGAACCTTGAGCTCCGCAACGTTCTAGCTAGACTTAAAGGAGCAGCGGCGTCCGGCTAGCGCAATCTTTTTTTTTTTTTAAATTATTATTACTATTATTAAAAGCAGAAGTGCGGGCGAGGCATTCAAAAGAGGCAAGGCAAAATGAGGGAAATCGTACACATTCAAGCTGGGCAATGTGGTAACCAGATCGGAGCAAAGGTGAGGCTGGCAAATTTTCTCTCTCCCCTTCTTCCCCTCCCCACCCCCCCCACCCACGTCCACGCGGGCCCCCCCAGCGTTTAAACTTCTAATAGAGTCAAGATGGAAAAATAGCGGGAGGTGGAACCGGCTCAAACGCATTGCCGTGCTGCTCCTCTCATCCATTGCCACGGTGGCAAAACGGAAGTGCTCCCCGTGGCGAGAAGCACGTGGCTGCGTTAATTTTTTGAAATTAAGGGCTGCGGGAGGGAGGGAGGGAATCTTTTGTTCGATCGCCGTTGCAAAAAACACCCGGTGCGACCGCTATCGAATCCAGTTACATACATAAAGGAAAGCACCGCTGTAACTGGGTTTTTATATATAAATTATAAATAAATAAAATTTATATATGTATATGTATGTGTGTGTGTATATATATATATATATATATATATAAAATACACACACACACACACACACACACATATACACATACATACACAACGGCTTTAATCTATAGGCGATCCCTATACATATATAGAGATAGAGATATATATGGAGATATAAATAGATATGGATATATGCAGGTCTTGGCGTGTTCGGGTCTTTTCCCGTGTAAGATTGAGAGTATTTTGGCGATATATATGTATGTATGTATAGGGATCGCCTATAGATTATGGTCATTATCCGAGGGGAAAAGATTCTCTTCCTCCTCCCCCCCTCTAAAACCATCTCAATTTTCTTTCTAAAGGGAGGGGCCCTTGCCTTTGTTCGTCTTTCCTTCCCTTTTAATCCCGCGATTTAGAAAGGAATGGGATTAGACCCTTAATGGCAGAAGTCTACCGGTGGACACCACTCTTGCCGGGTGGGGGGGGGGAAAGGGGAGGGGTGAAATGCCCGCCAGCTATAATCGGCGTAGCCTGTAAATTCTAGCGCCAAAGCGGCTGCGGAAAGGAAGTGCAATTTCGAAAGAGATCTGAATCGAAGTGTGAAACGAGAACAAAAGCCCGGCTGTTTTTTTGTTTAGCGGCGGGACGGGAAGGGCGGCTTTGTGTGTGTGTGTAATATATAGGTCGGCTACACCTATATATATAGATATATACATAAAATTTGAACTCAGCCGGAGAAGAAGAAAAAAAGACGGGAGGATTCTCACAGGGTTCGCGCCCCTCCACCAGCCCGCCTAAATCCAACGACGCAGTTTCGTTCGTGGGGTGTTTTTTGCGACGAGCGAATCCCGATTCCTTCTGAGCCGATTTCGTTCCCCGGGATCGTCTTGTGTCCACGCGGTCGATCCCTCTTTTTTTTTTTTTTTTAGCCGAGCCCCACCCCGATTTCCTGATCCGTTAGAGATGGGATCGAGGCAAAAGGAGAGAGAGAGGGATCTTAAGGGGCCGGAGGCGCGGCTCCCCTAGGAGAGACTAAATGGAAGAGAATCCCTTTCCATAGTGAGCGCGATTGGGGTTGCAGGCGTGGGTAGCCAAATTCCGGGTTAGTCCCACGAAGCGCTCTCCCAGTTTTAAACTTTAGCTCCCCCTCCCCCACCGGCACGTTTTGAAAGGGGTGTGCCCCGAAAGGCGTTTAAAAAGCAATTTTTTTTGCTTGCCTAAATAAAACTGCCTCCTCCCCCCCCCCCCCCAAAAAAAAATCTCCATAAATATAGATGAAGGAGGAGAAAAAAAAGGAGGGTCCGGAATTCTGCTTGAATATTTTTTTTCCCACCATTTTTGTTAGGATTTAATAAAACGGCATTCAAATTCGGGGGAAATCCCTCCCCCGCCCCGTTTTTTTTTTTTTAATTATTTAGGAAAGGGGCTCGAGAGGCTCCGTGGCTTCTCCGTCCCTATCTTGACATTGGATCCTGACTTGAAATTAAACCCCTCTTTTTAAGGCCAAACCGCGGGAGCTGAACCTCTTAGTATATATAATAATCTCGGATTAAGCCAGGAGAAAGAAAGAAAGAAAGAAAAAAAAAACCGCGCCCCCCTGTAATTTTGTTGCAAGCCGGAGGCCTGAAATGTTACAAAAACGAAAGGTTGCTTTGGAAAGGAATATTCTCCTAGCGTAAAAAAAAAAAAAATCCCTTGTAACTACTTTTCAGACATTTTGGGCTTCTTCCCTCATTCCCCATAGGCAAGCATGCTCCAGAGTGTGTGTGGGGGGGGGGGGTGGATGATGGGAGCTGGAGTCGAGAGCATTGGTGTGGGGGCGCCCAGTTGAGGAAAGCTGGCTTGCGAAAGCTCGATCAATGCAATGGTTCATTTAAAAAAAAAAAAATCGACTTCCTCTACTGCAGAATGGATGCCATTACTGGCGCCAAAGTCCCTTCCCCCACCTTTTTTTTTTTAACCCGCCCACCATTTCCAGTCTTTGTCTGCAGTCGGGGAAGCACATGGCCGCTAGGCACGCTGGTCTCTCTCTCTCTCTCTCTCTCTCTCTCTCTCTCCCCCCCCTCCCCTCCCTCACTCTTTCACTCTTTCCCTTCTTCCCTCCATCCTCTTCCTGTGCCCTTCGGCCCGGCTGCAGCAGCTGCAGACCTGGGGTTTGTGGGCGCCTGTAATGGCCGCTGAAAGCAGAAAGGGGAGAAAGGAAAGGGGGCAGAGATGGCAGAGGGGCGTTTCTTTTATTGGACTCATTCTCTCTATCTCTGGCTGGCTTAAACGCCCCCAGAGTTATACTTTCCGAGCCTGCCAGTCTGCTGTCATGTGCAGTCAAGTGGCTTGAAATCCCAATTTATCCGAAAAGGCTCCCCACAAAGCTGGTGAAATCATCCGGTTGCTCTCTCTTGATTAGCTGGTAGAAAGGAATAAAACGGGTCTCCTTAAAGTGGGGGGTGAACCGGTGGGATGAAACCTTAAAATTGCATTTCAGCTTAGCAGGCTTTTAAAAGACTGGGAGATCAGAGCGAGAGACAATGGCAGATTGTCAGTGCCCACCCACTTACCATATTCCCCAACCTCCCAGCATTAGATGCCTTCCATATTTCTGTCTTTGGGATGCTCATGTGAGGAACCGTCAAAGGGCTTCTGAAGCAGCATAAAAACTTAAAAAAGAAAAAATCTTTAAAAAAAATCCTTTCTTTTTAAAATCTCTCTGGATCTCCTGCCTGAGCAAGGTCTACAAGACCTCCCTTCCAACTGTGTAACATCCATGTTAAAAGGCAGGAAGGATGTCCAGCCAGGCCTTCTGGAGAAGAAACTCAAACTTGACAGTTGTGTGTTGCTGCTACACACTTCAGAATCTTCTTGGTTACGCTCTTACCCCATATCCTTAAGTGAAGCTGGGTTTCTGCAACATGTTAAGTCATCCCCCCCTCTAAAGTTAGGACATTGTACCAAGCAGACAATGACGTATCCGTTGTGATGGTGGTCAGTTTTTTTTCTCCATTGTGCTACTTACATCAGAAGACTGGAGAGGAATATTCACCTGTATCCTTAGGACAGGAGCTAAAATTGACTTTCCTATCTTGCGAGATTGTTCTCTGTCCTCTCATAGGTATAGCTCATCCTTTTATTTTTCCTGTCCTTCCCCCTTTTCCCCTGACCTAGATGACTCTATAATTTTAGACATTGTGGAATAGGCGTTTTCCAATGGACTTAGGAGTAGTAAAAATAATTCAGCACCTGCACTGTGTTGGTGATAAATGATAGCAATGCAACGAGAAAGCAGAATCCTACAGTTTGTAGAATAGGCTTCTGGACCTGTATGCTTTGTTCTCTTTGTGGTAAATTCTTGTGCATTTGGGAAGAAGAAAGAAAGAAAAACCAATACCAGGGATCGTTATTCGTTTTCCAAAATGCTGCATTGTTCCTAGAAGGCTGTTGTAGCCTTTAAGACTTGTATTCTGGGGGTCCATAGGTGCTAATCCAGTGTCTGCTCCTTCCTAGCTGCCCCACCCTGGTCACCTCTACATGACCTACATTGCGGTATACGCATCCACCTCCACTTCGGCATGCCGGAGGGTGTGTCTGCAGCTTTTTGCTGGCACCTGATGAATTAAAAGCAGACTGGACTAACTGAACTTGCAGGCTTTCTCTATTAGATAAAGAATAGCATCAATTTTTTTTTTCAGGAAAAAAAACAGAAACCCCCATTCATGATCCTTTAGAAGAATATCTTCCCACTGGAACTCTTAAAACCCTAGCTTTGGAATCTCTACACATTCCAATGATGTGCATTGGCTTTTTGGACCTGTGTCTTGTCTGCATGCGGTCCCCCGTGTTCCCCCCCCCATTAGATCTGCAGTCAGGGTGGGGCTAAACCCAACTCCCCACCTTCCTCCTCACTAGTGTATTTAAAAATTTATGTATCTGCAGTGCCTTGGGTGTGTTTGGTCAGCAAATGGGAGACCCAAGGAACCAAGGTTCCCCCCCCCCCACTCCCCAATAGCCTCTGTAAAAATATCTGAAACTGAAGACAGAAGTGATTTACACTGGGAAGAACAAGCCCACTAGAAGCAATCATCTCTTAGGCACAAAGTACTACAGTTTCGTCCTATGGTTTGTCCGCTGTCTTTGGCCACAAACTATGAAGGAACCTTAACAGGATTTTATTTCAGTGCATTTCTTACAAAAATGATGCCATTATTATCTGCCTTGGGGAAATGTATCCCTATGAAGACAAAATTGTGCTTCTAAAACTACAACACACAAGCTCCTTCCGAACTGAAACTCTTATGACTGAATGAGGATTTTTTAAAATTGGCATACAATAAATAGAAACTTTTTTTAAAAAAAATCATTAACTGAATACAAACAAGCCTTTATGAAAGTTATATGGGGGGTGGGGGAGAAAAACCTAACAGAAAACTACAAAGAAATGCCTACAGGTCATATATTCATACATAAATATATATGAGTAAAATGTTACCATAAGTATTACAATGAATGAAAGCTATATTGCATTATAATCCTTAATATGTACATGTATTTAATTGCAGCCAGTGGGCCACACCCCCTCATTTGCTGCTTGTGTCAGTGACAAATTTATTATGCTAGAAGCTGGATAACTACAAAAGGGCT